TTTGATAGACAGACTCAGGTTGAAACTTTTAGTACTCCTGCTTCAGCCTCCTAGAGTACCAGAGTTAAAGGTATTTACCATTGTGTCTGGCATCTTTATATAATCTTTTAAAGATCTATAAATAAACAAAGCAAACATTATATTTCAAACTTTACTTGGGAATTTACAGTATAATGTGAAGATGTAAAATTTGTTCCAAGAGTATGAATGATTCAAGGAGGTAAACTGAACTGTCTTATAGTTATATTTTAGCCTTTTGCATTAATTAAAACAATAATGTGTTAGCTCTAAGTAGATCATATGCTATATGTCAAAGTTAAATATGAGAAACTCTGGAGTGATTAAAAAAGGTTCAAATGTGTATCACTTATATGCAAAAGAGGAAGAAAACTGAATACAAAACATATGTGTTTAAGAATCCTCATAAATTTGTGATAACAAAAAATCAGAAAATGACCTATGTCTGGGTACATCAACAGGGAAATTGGGGAGCACATGGACATATTGCAATGCATTCAGACAAAAGGAAACCACCGAGCAGTGCAAAGGAACATACTGAAGTGCTCATTCTGCCGATCTCATAAGCATGGTACTGAGTGAGACATCAAGTGAAATCTATTGTAGAACTTCAAGCAAAATGAACCGATGGTGAAAAATAAATCAGAAGAGTAAATTGTCCCTATAGGGAGGGAATATTTTGCCTGGGAAGGGACACAAAAGAATTCATGAAAAGATTCTTCTTTTTTTCTTTTGATATCAGGGATTGAACTCATGATCACATGCTTGCAAAGCAGGCATTTATGCCACTGAGCTAAATCCCCAGTGTGAAAATAGTCTTAAATGAATAAAGTTGTATGTTTGTCACAACTGTATAACTTTTTTCTTTGCAATGTATATACATCTGATGTCACACAATATAAAGAACTAAAAAATTAAGTGAAAGACTATGGCATAATTGAAAAATTAACAAGTTCCTGACTTAGTTTTTGTAAACTGCTTTTGTAAACATACTATAGTATTTTTATTATACTATCCTGTTTATTTTGCATATATTTAAAATGTCTGTGATAAAACACTTTTCCAAACGACAAATTTATCCACTGGCTGTTAAGATCTTCATTAATTTTGGAAGGAAGGAAAGGGGAAGCAAGTGAAAAGATTATGAATAAAATGGTTCTATTTTTTAGTTATCCAAGTGTATTCTATTTGCATTGATTGTTTAGCTTTGCATAAGTGCTATGTGCGTGTCTTATTGTATGCATGTTGCATACTGAGAAAAACTCTGGTAGTAGCTACTTACAGAAAATCCTGGCTCAGTAGCTCAGAATGACCACAGTTTTGGTCTTCTTTGTTTACTTTAAAAGGAAAAGCAAATAAAAATGATGATGCAGAATTTCAAAACAAAATAGTAGGAAATTAAAAATGGTTAACACATTGAATATAGTTATCATCAAAGTATGTACTCGGATTACAAGATATAGGCATGAAAAAGATCATCAATCAAACAATGAAAGCTAACCATTCTTTTTTGATGAACTTGTTCTGTTTTAAAGTGAAAGAAACATAGTCACTTACATCCTTGTTAGATGGATGTTAATATTTAAAGGTACTTGTTCATGTCCTAATGCCTGGGCGACCTCTTAGGTCTGTTAATTCTTTGCCTAAATTTGATAAGGTAAATTTTTTTCATTGTATTTATTACACAAATTTTTTAACCAAAAAAATGTTCTCCCAGGCACCATAACAATGTTACCAAGGCAGGGACACCCAGCACAATGTCCAGAACATGGTGGGCACTTCTGAGACCAGACTCATTCAGGAACAAAACGGGCAGTAGAGGCTGAGTCCAGAAAAGGTTGCTAAGTATATGATATATGTAAGACTGAAGGGTCACAGCTTAGCAGCAAATATTTTACATTCATTTAAGAAGCTTCTTGAAAGAACTTCAACAAAGATGATCATTTAAAGCTTATTGCATTTGAGCTCAGCCCAAAAGAACAATTTTGGCTGGTCAAAATAAAGAACAATTTTAATACATACTCATTTGTTTGGTTGAATTGAAGCAAGAATAAATGTGTTCCTAGCAGACACTTCATAGGTCTTTATGTCACTTGCTTTCAGAATAAGGTATTTTTTCAAGATAAATAATTTGACTTTGTTTGTACTGGGAATCACAAATAGCCTACAAATACCAAAACAACTGAAAAAAATCTGTATGCTTGTGCAGTGCATTATGTGTGCTTTCAAAGTTCTCCTACAATGATAAATGAAAAATATATGGTTGTTCCCTCATTACCTAAATTCAGTCCTCAGCCATTTCTCAAATTATTCTAAGTCCTCAGGTGCTTCAGAGGCATTGTCTTAAGGTGATTACTCCCAATGGTGAAGAGCACTTTATGGACACAAATCTTGGTTTTTGAAATGTGTCATTATCTAAGTCTTCAAAGAATGAGGCAAGTTAAATGTGTTCTGGTGGAAGTGTTTAATTTTGGAGTCAGGTGCAGTTGACCCTTAATCCTAGTCCAGTTGCTCAGTAGTTGTGGAATTTTGGACAAGTTCCTTGAGTTGGAAACATTATGTAGAATTCATCTATAAGGAAAGGCAGATTGATACTGGTGCGAACAACACTGACCATTTTTCAGGCTTTCCAATGTTTTTACTGCTGAAACCACCAGAGCAGAAATTACTCTCCAAACTTTAAATCTGTGCTGGTCTTATTCCCTGCGGCTTATATAAAGTTATGTCTACTAGTTTGGTAGCTAGGCTGCAAAGTCTTGAAAATTTCGGCTATGTTTCTCAGAACCCTGCTATTTTCATCCATGAGAATTAGCCTGCATTCAGAGAGTAAAATCCCACAGGGGGGAGAAGCAAGGTGCTCTGGTTTAAAGTCAGTTTGCCCTCTTAAATTGTCTCCTTGTCAACCACCAGGGAAGCACACATGTTAAAAAGAGACCAGCCTAAATTGTTTATCAGCCCAATAATGAGCCTCCATATAAAGTTTTGGAGTTGCTTGCTATCCAGTGATAGATAACTAGAATGTCCATAATAGGCAGGAAGCCAGGATTCAGTGACATATTAATTACAAGTTATCTGACAAACAGTAGTTTTCCTATAGTGGTTTTCAAATTAGTCAAAAATACACACAGACGTGTATACATGTGAAAGGTGAATAAATCACACAGAACATTACACCCCAGGAGAAAATAGGCGCACAGACATTCTAAAGCAAGAAATTTCCCTCTGTTTAATCTCTGTAGTTCAAGACTGTGAACCTATCTGAAGCCAAAGGTTTCTCTTCTCCTATGTTCCCATCTTTGTTTTCTGTCTGAACCCTGAATGGAAGATGGACTTACGCCTAGCAGCAGGTGGAAAGCAGTCATTTATCTCCGGAAACTTTTGGAAGTTTTTCTTTTTGTTTTTTTTTATCTTCAGGCCCATGAAGAAATATTTGTTAAAAAACAGTACATTCCCTTACTTCTGGCATACATAGGAAGTAGTTCAGGTTTCTATGTCTCTGGGGTCAGGGGAGTCATAAAAGCTAGGATATAGCTGCTCTGAATTGAGATATTCTAGAGTCTTGAGTTTTGAAAATGTAGCATATATATATATATATATATATATATATATACATATACATATATACATACATGTACACACATATGTGTATATATAGCTCATTAGTACATTGATCATAAATAATAATGATTAGTTTTTGATATGTCAGATTATTAAAACCAAATTTCTCTTTTAAATTTTCTGTCTCAGTCCTGGAGGTTGAGTCCAGGGCCTCACCTAACCAACTGCTCTATCACTAGGGTATATCCCAGTCCTTTTCACTTTTTGTTCTTTATTTTTTTTTGTTTGATTTTTTTTAACAGCATCTTGCTAAGCTGCCCAGGTTAGATTTGAATTTGCACTCTGCCTGCCTCAGGGTTCCAAACATCTGGAAGTATAAGCTTGTACCCCCACACCCAGATTAACTTTCACTTTATCAATATGACTTCACTTGATCAGTGAGGGTTTTGGTAACCCTTTAAATTCTGCATCCAAGGCGCAAGTATCTTGTTCTCTTGTCAGTTCCACAGGAAAACACAAGACTGCAAATGAGTTTTCCTCTGCCCAAATTCCCCAGTGTACACTCAGCCGCCAGCTAACAGCCTGGAGTTTTATTTTCCTATTTGGAACCCAGACAATAAAACACAGGGGACCAGTGCCTGAGGACATCAATGGTCCCTCCTAGACCCTCTTCTGAACTCCGTAAACTCTCTGTTTACAACGAATGCTGCTGACATCCCCACCCCCACCCCAGTACAGTCTGTACAACAGACCTGGGAAGGTGGGCACACTGAGCAGCCAATTCACTGCTCAGACTGCGGGAGCACCACAGCTGCAGGGAACCTGACTAAAGAAACTCTTAATTTTGTTTTTAAATTTTAATGCCAGAAAATTTACAATTCCACTGTGCCTCACAGTAATGTATATAGGACATGGCTAGCTCAGAGGATTATTTCCCATTTCAGAGCTCAAGCTCCAAGCAAGACCAGAGACCAGAAAAATTAAGTGAAATTTGATATTAAAATAATTGTCATATTAGTCCTCTTGTGAATAATGCACCTGTAATTCATGTATTGACATGAAACATACAAAGTAAAAATGTATACAAAGTAAAAATGCAAATGTTCCCTTGTGGGTCAGGAGGGAAGCCCTGTTTTTAAATAACTGCAACATGAGGCCCTGGGTTTCTTATCTAACACAATAGAGCCAATAAATAAATAAAATACACAAAATAAAATAAAATGACATAAAAATGAAGCAGCCAGCAACCTGCCTTTCTGGCCTCACTGTACTGTGGATTAGATGGTTTGTGGAGTCTCTCAGGACCCTGGACACGGCGTGAATCTCTGTCCAATCAGCGACACTGGGCTGAGAACTGCCCAATTAGGTCGTCAGCCGGAGAAGAGGGGGCGGGCTTTCCCAGCGCGGAGCCCTTCATCTCCCAAGCTGTGGGCTCTGGGATCCATAAGTAGGCACCCCCTGCTTTAGAAGCACTGGCTGCTGTAACGCAGCACTTTTGCTCTGTGACCTACAGAACTGGGAGATCCCTCAAGATCCCTAAGAGGGACACTCCAGAAGCCAAGACAGGGTGAGTGTGTGGGGCCCATTGTGCTGAGATGTGGGAGAGGCTGTTTGGAGCCAGCTGGAACTGACTGAGGGTCTCTTTGCTCCGCGATGGAATGTGCAGGTCGAGTCCTCCCTGGGGACTTACTGACCTTTGGTCCCCTCAGGTCTATGAAGTGGGATATGGCCAGCAGCTGGGATCTGACTTCTGTCCCATCCCTGTGAAGCTACTTCAGCCCATGAGCAGTCCTTACTGGTCAGCTCTGTCAGTGCAGAGCTCTCAACTTCCCCAAATGGTGTCGCGACTATGGGGAGAATCTTCTAGGTGAGGGGTTCCCTAAGTCACTAGTTCCTCCTGTGTCGTGAAGTATCATTTGCTACTGACCTCTCTAAATGCATAGCAAACAGAATCTCAAATCCAGAGGCCAGCTTGTGCTGCTAGCCTAGCTCCTCCTGGGTTTGGCAATAACTTTCTAAAATCCTAGCTCCCTGCTTGCATTGCCGAAGTTCAGCTTCCCCTCTCTACATTACCAACTCTTTGTTTCCCATGATACATTTCGGACATAGTATTTTGTCATTATTTTCCTTTAAGTACTGGACTGCACTTTCTAAGTATTGGATTTATTCGTGAACATTTCACAAGAGGGAAGTGGAATAGAATAACAACTTGTAAATGTAAAAAAACATCTTTGAACTTCTCTTTTTGTTTTTCTTAGGCATAGACACCTTAGCAGAATGTCTTTGGGTTGAACCGCACCTTTGGGGACTTTTATAGGTGATGTCTTCTCAGCCCTCCATCCTTCCCTGACTCTGGGTTTCAGAAATCTCTGACACCAATTGTTGACCTCAGGTGCCCACAGCTTGCTTGTCTGTGTTCCTTTGAAGAGACATACGTCCTCTCCTCCGAAACAGCATCATAAGGTGGGTGTGGAACCTTTCTGAGGAGTTGCTGGATGCCCTGGCACTGTCACGAATCTCCTAATACACCCTTCGTCTCTAATACCCTCAAGTCATTTTTGTATCTTGGCCACAGAGACTGCTACAGTGAACAGAGGCATGCACTATGAATTAAGAATACTGATTTTAATTCCTTTGGATACATACCCAATATTGTGGTGGCTGGATCATATTCTGTTTTTAGTTTTTCTGATGAACTTCTGTATTAGTTTGTAGATGGCTGAACTAGATTTATATTCTAATCAACAGTATACAAAAATCCCCCTCATTACATATCCTGTGCAACATGTGTTAGCCTTTATCTTTTTGTTGATAGTCATTCTATAGCAGTAATCAGTCTCCAGGATGTCTGCCTTTTGGGGCATTAAGTGTGTGATGCAAGGTAATCTGAATCCAGACTATGAAGCAAGCACTGTGGAGTGTGCTATAACCCTCATCTCAGAATTAATGCTTTATAACTCTTTCTCTGCCCTATTGCATGGGTTGCTGCCCACAGAACTACTTCCATATTAACTGAAAATTACTCGTTTGTCTTTTACATAGGAATATTTCCACATTCCCAGTCCCTTTTGTTTTCAGAGCTTGGAGGCTTAGGATGTAGTTCTTAAGCCATATAAGTAATGAGTTGGGACACTAGTGCAAGGCCCAACTCTGTCCAGAAGGATTCAGGAAATGCAAAGTTTTCAGTGTAACGGCCTGGGTGAAAGGGCTGGGGAAGTGCTGGGCTCCCACTCAGCCTGCCAGGGCTGTATGATTTTTGCCCTATGAATTCCCTGATGCAGGCCAGATCAAACTCAAATCTCAACTGTCAGCAACAGTAGTTGGCTCCATGTGCTTACAAATCCCTTGCAAGGAAAAACTGAATTTTCACACATTCTCATCTAATATATAGGAAGAGAAGCACAAGGAAGTGCGTGGATGAACATAGGAAACCACCATGTCCGAATGAGCCTTAGCTTCCTACTCATTTGGTGTGACTGTTTTTTCTTTTCTGTTTTATTTACTATTCATGCCATATTTGTGATCCATCATGAATACACGTGCATATCTCATCTTAATCCTTTTTAACTAACACCCCACCACACATTGCTCCCCATCTCAGGTGTGCCTCAGCTTTCTACTCCTTTACGTGTTTGTTTCCTTTGCTAACCAGAAGTCTCTCAACTTGCTTAGGACCTTCTTTCAGAGAGACTTGGAACATGAGTAGATGTTTTTCAGAGTGGCCATGGATGGAGGGAGCCTCCTGCTGTATTTTCAACATCACATCCTGTTAACCCTTTCATGAGTGTGGAGAACTGAACCCAGAGCCTCGTAATACATTCTGTACCCTAAAACTGAGCTATGCCCCAGCCTCCCCATCTGCCTTTTGATTGCACTTCTTAATCAATTTGTTTTTATATTATTCTTCAGGTGGTTGGATTTTTGTAAGGCTTTCTGTAACTCTTAACAGAATAAATAATCCTTGTATCCACAGGGACTTGTTTATGAATTTTGTTTTTATTGTGATTAACTTGATCTTTATTATTGTAATAGTCTAGTTTCATAATATGCATTAGTGTCAAGTAAAGGTACTCCTATTGTTTTTATAATTCAGAGGTTTCTTTGTTAAATATCTTTGTACAAATATCTATATTTATCTCTGTGTTTTTAACTTCCATATGAATTTTTAAATTTTTTGTTTCATTCCCTTCTTCCCACCAAAAATAAAGCATGCAATTTTATTTTATCGGTACCGGGAATCGAACTCACAACCACCTGCTTGCAAGGCAGGCACTTATGCCACTGAGCTAAATCCCCAGCCCAAGCATGAAATTTTGATGGTCTACTATAAATTAATTTAAGAAAATGCTTATCTTTGTAGTGATGAGGTTTATCACCAACAAACATGATATGTGTAATTGAGTCTTCATGTGAAAATACATTTTTATTTTGTCATATATTCTACATGTCTCCTCAAACATGTATTCATGTTAGATATCACATGCATGTGACATCCATATAAAACTTGTGTGGCTTATTGTACTCTTTGTTAAACTGAGTATATAAGACGTGAAATGGACCCTAGAAAGTGCCCTGGTCTTTATTACTCATCTCTTCCTGAATGTACTTCTTTCCTCACCCCTTGGGTTTCATTCTTAGAACTGATGCTACTGCATGTCACATTACTTTTATTTTAATGTAGTATGATTTATGAATATTTTCACTTTTTAACATTTTGTGTTACTTTGCAAAGAATGACTCTTTTATCCTGTTATAACTTTTGAATATTGTATAAGTAGTTTTTATATTTACATAGTTACTGTCTCAGAGAACAATTTATTATGTAGGAATGAGGAAAGGCTACAATTACAGTTTTTGACCACATTGATACCCTTTGAGCAGCTTTCCTCAGAAAAGCTATCTTTTTTTATTACTTATCTGCAGTACAGTTTTTGTCATTTAGAAGTGTCTAAAAGGCAAGAATATTTTTAGGGCTTTGACTTCAGTTCACTTATGTCACTGCCAAGCCTACAGTCACTGCGTAGCTTTATAGTGTTGTCATTTTCTGCACAATGACATTTTGGTCAGTGACAGCCTTCATGTGTGACAGTAGCTATAACCGCTGAGGTGCAATATATTAATTGTTAATATATTTTACATCTAGGTTTGTATTAATCTACTTTGTGATGTTTTAACAGTGATAGAATTACCTGATAATAAATTTCTAAAAGGCATTGCCATTGTGAAGTGAGGCATAACCATTTATATACATGTGTACTTTCCAGTTATATAACAGATAACTAATCTATAATTTTCCTTATTGATTTTCAAGGGTTCTTTCCATTTCCTTACTGTTCTTTTTCTACCATAGAAAACATATATAATTTTTTAGATGGACTTAAAAACTAATGCAAATAATTTCAGGCACTTTTTTTGAATATAGACTATGGAAATTTTCTACCAAAGAATAGTATAGCTAGCAGTAAATATAAAAATGTAAGCTTCAATTTTTATAGCAATATGCAAGGGCTAGACAAATGTAAAAAGAAATATTACATAAACAGTCCAACAGTTTCCTATGACTGTTTTAAAAAGAACCAACCTTTGCCATTCCTGTTACTCTCTAGGTATGTTCATTTACATTATTTTTGAATTTTGTTCTTTTATTTACCAGTTTCCTTTTTATAGAATTTGTTCTGTTTTTCTCTAAAGAACTAAGAATGATGATTAACTATGGAATTCCTTGTCTCTTATTAGACCTATTTAAGACCTAATTTTCTTCTTAACCTCAGAATTAGATGCATGTTAGTCTATTTTACACCTTTATTGATATAGATTAATTTGTACAAGATGTGATAAAAAAGGGAAATGTTTATCATTTTATTCCAGTAAAAGCCACATTCCCATTAAGTCCTCACAAAATACTCCCCATCACTGCAAACAAACTCATCCCATTATGCTTGTCACGTTAGAAAGCAGGTTTGGAAGTCCCCTTTCTTGTCTTTAGTCGGGCTGATGTAAGCTGCTTCAATAACCAAAATCAGTTCACAACATTTACGTTTCATGCTCTTTTTGACTTTTGCAAAGAGCCAGAAGTCACACATGCCAGTTCTAGAGAATAAGAAGGATACGGGAACACTGCAGCGTTTGTAGAAACCTGCCTTTCCATGGGATGGCACTCGGCATTGGCTTATTTTTGACCAGACTCATGAAGACGGTTTTCCAGGAGTGCAGCCAAGAACACCGGTGAAGGCCTCCGCTTGGCCATGGTTCTCTGTCCTCTGTTCTGCATCAAGTTTGACTCTCGCTACTGAGCTCCCTCCTAAACTGGATTGGGAGGTCTCTAAAACATTTCCTCTTGGGATCTCAGAGGCGGTGCACTCTGTCGCCCCTTTACATTTCACCCACTCTGTGGCTTCTCTACCTCTCAGTACACGCTGCAAGTCCAGAGACCCCATTGCTACCCGCACACTCATGAGCCTCCTGTTCATGCGATCAGCTTCCCAATCCTAGAAAACTCTAGGAGGAAAAGTTCTCTGGAGGATCTGCATCTTCTGTGCTGTGATAGTTGAGGTTTCTCATGTGGTTTCTCAATCACTCTCGTGTTTGAAAGTTCTAACCTCCTTTTATGTCTCTGCTCTCTGGCTGTTTTTGTTTTGTTTTGTTTTGTTTTTGTTTTTTTTACAAGCACATAGGGCCCACCAGAATAATTCTGGTTTTTAAGGTCAGATAATAAGTTACTTTTATTACATCTGTGAAGTATTTATTTTTATGTAACAGAATGTAGAGATAGGAGCAATACCAAGGGTTAATATATGTTGATGACATTATAAGAGTATTGAGATTTTCAAATTTAAAAAAAAAACCTTTATCAATACAAATATAAAACTTCTACCACTTGCAGAAGAAAAATTGGGATCTCAAGAGAATTAGTCACTATTCTGTAGAAGGCTGTGGTTTACAACTAGTGGTTCCCCCTAAGGCCTCATGTGCTACATTGTAGGGGTTTTGGAAAGTGACTCATTGTTAGGATGAAAAATCTATTTAGAAGACACTGATCACTAGGAGTGTGGCCAGCAAACATGCATCTCCTTCCCCAGCTCCTCCTCTTCCCTTTCTGCTTCTCATGCTCCATACCAGGAACAACTTTCTTCTACCATGCCACCGTGCCATGCTGTCCTACCTTAGACCGAAACCTCTGCAAACCTTCTAGCTCTATCCATCTTCATGAAAATTGCATGATTTCAATGTAACAATATTCTATATATAAATGCCACAGGTTTACTTTTTTCTTTAGAGGGGGTAGTGAGATTGGACCTAGTGCCTTCACACTGAGCTACATCCCCAGTACTTTTTAATTTTGTTTTTATTTTGAGACAAAGTCTTCTAAGTTGCCAAGGCTGAATTCAAACTTGTCATCCTCTTTCTTCAGCACCCCAGAGCACTGGGATTATAGGCTTATATAACACGTTTTCTTTATCTTAATAGGCACCTAGACTGTTTCCATACCTTAGTGTATCAGAGTGAGGGGAATATTATATGTCCGTATGACAGGTCAAGTCTTTAGGGACATTGTGAAAGCAGGAGTCTGAGTAAATGATCCTTGGAAAATGAGACTTTTTAAAAATTTGATACCAGTCCAGTGCCAAGGCCACTAAGGAAGGAGAAACTGTTCCTCAGGCATGAGGTCTACTAGAAAAGAAAAATGGGGTTCCTGGAGCCTACCCACCCATCCCACCGCTCAACTCACCTTACACAAATCACAGAACTTTTACGTTTTTAGAGACCTGCCTACAGTCTCCCTGGCTCACAATAATAAGTGGCATAAATCTACAAGAACCATCAAGGTCTATTCAGAGTAAGTGTACCTGAATGGCAATTGCTAGAGGAGAAGTGTTTTCTCACACTACATTGTATGAGATGCTGAATGGAGACAGTAATTCTGTCTGTACTGAAAGTGTAAGTGGTGTGGTATATGGCAACGTTAGCAGTAGTATTGAAGACCGGGAGACAGCACTTAAGAGAAAAAGTAAATCTAGAGACCGTGTGCAGTCTTAAATCTAACATGAGATTGTTTTCTCTGGTTTTGAAAAATTCTAGTGTTGGTGCTCCAAATCTATCATTTCAAATTACAAAATGCCATTAACTTTTAACAAGGCTTAATGAAGCTTTCATTGCGTCTTTCCCTACATATGGAGCCCTATTCCCATAAGAGATGAAAAGAAGCTTTTCTATTTCATGCCATCTCATTTATTGATTTTTGGTATTATTTCTTGAGGTACTAAATTTCTGTTCAGGAAGTCCTTCCCTATGCCTATGTCTTCAAGCATTCTGCTATATTATTTCTCAATAGTTTTAAATTTTCCAGTCTTATGTCTAGATCTTTGATTCATTTGATTTGGTTTGGTACAGGGTGAGATATATGATTATAGTTTCATCTTTCTCCATGTTGATAACCAATTTTACCAGCATAATTTGTTAGAGGTGATCTTTTCTGCAGCATATGATTATGGCTCCTTTGTCAAAATTCAGATGGGATTATTTCTGTGTCCTTCATTCTGTTCCACTGATGCAAATATCCATTTTTGTGCCATTATCATGCTGGTCTTTTTACTGTATCATTGTAGTGTACCTTGACATCCAAAACCATAGTGTCTCCCACTTTGCTCTTTTTTCACAGGATTGCTTTGGCAATTTTGGATATCTTTTGGTTTCATATAAATTTTAGGATTGTTTTTCTAGCTCTGTGAAGACTGTTGTTGATATTTTAATAGGGGTTGCATTAAATCTATATGATATTTTTCAGGAATATGGCCATTTTAATATTAATTCTTCTTATTAAGGAGCATAGGATTTCTGCTAATTTCTAAGGTCCTCTTAAATTTCTTTCGTTAGAGTTCTATAGTTTTTCTTATAGAATTCTTTTATTTTCCTGGTAATGTTGATTCATAGATTTTAATATTTTTGATGCTATCATGAATGGAATTGTTTTCTTGATTTCTTTAATGGTGAATTTATTATTGGTGTAAAGAAACACTATTTTTTATGTTGATTTTTATGATGGCTTAAAAACTGGTGGGCAATTTAATACCAGCTAAACTGAATCTGCTTGGTGCTGCATGGGGCACCCACCTAAGGATTGTTGGCAACATAAAAGGAGAACTGGGGAAGAAGTGGGTGTTGTTGGTTCTTCTGTTGCCATGGGTTCTCCTGGAGGAACTTGCTGAATTTCTTTCCTGATATGAATTTGACTGTTCTCATCATCAGAGGAGCTTGGGACTTCTTGTCACTGAGAATGGCTATGGTTCACCTTGAGGCAGCTTTGGTCCTTACCTGAGCTCACTTCCTGGCTCAAGAGGGAAAGATGTCTGCTGATCAGTCTCCAGGACAAGCTAGTCACAGTGACTTCCTGATATGAATTTGGCTGTTCTCATCTTTGGAGGATGTCAGGACCTCATTGTCACTAAAGATGGTTGTGGTACTTTTCAGGGGAGCATTGGTCCTTATTTTGAGCATTGATTCCCTGGATCCACTGCAGGACCTACCGGCACAGGTCTTTCATCCTGGTAGCACAGACCTTCTAGCTCCCAAAGCTAACCTTGGGGCCTTCCCAGTGCAGATCCGTGAAACAGAGTTGGATGAGTCATTATTGTGGGCTCTAGCCCTCCAGTTGGACTTGTGAGAGGCACTGTTATGGACTCTAGGTCTTCAGCTGGACTCATGCAGGATGCTGCCATGGGATCCAGGCCCTTGGCTGGATTCTCTAGGTCTTTAATGGGTGAATGAATAGGTGTCATAGTTTATGTTGGTGACCCCCAGGCCTCATGTGTTTGCATTGTGCATTTGTGTTTGGTCATTGTCTAGCGCTTGGATTAATGGTGTCAGTGCTACAGCCACCTTGGGGTGGAGCCAGCATACAATGTAATGGCTGGCAGAAGGTCTATTTTAATCTCTTGCAGGTTTCTGCCTTGCTGTCTGCAGCCACCATGAACTGCGGCCCCACCATGCCACCCTGCCTTGGAGCCAACTGAGTATGGATGGAAACCACCAAAAATTGTAAGAAATAAACCTTCCCTTTCCCTTTGGGCATCAGAGGGTATTTTGTCTCAGTGATGAGTAAAAAGTAACTAAGACAAGAAGTTTCCTGTACTTTCTTTGTATTTGACTCCTTGGGTGACCATTATAAATAATACTATAAACTATGTGCCCTGTATTGTCTTGTTATCTTTGCAAATCCTCACTACAGTAATTCTGTACTCTGTCACTTTGTTGAATTTGTTTATCAGTTCTAAGACGGTTCTGTGGAATTTTTTGGGTCCTCAGTATAAGGGACTATGTCATCTTCAAATAATGATAATTAACTCCTTTCCTGTTCATTTCTCTTTTATTTCTTTCTCTTATCTGAGCTCTCTGGCTAGAATTTTGAATACTATATTGAGCACCAGTGGTAAACATGAACATCCTTGTTTCATTTATTTCAAAGGAAATACTTTTACCCCATTCAGTATGATGTTGACTGTGTGTTTCTTATATACAGCTTTTCTCAATTTGGAGTAATAGCCTTCTACACCTATTTTCATTAGAATTTTTGTCACAAAGGGGCGTTGGCTTTTGCCAATAATTTCTTCTCCATCTTTTGAGATGACTATGTGATTTTTACCTTTGAATTCTATGAATGCGGTGTATTATGTTTATTGATTTACATATGTCGTATCATCCTGTATCCTTTGGATAAAGTTGACATGGTCATGATGTATATTCTTTTTATTGATTTGCTGAATTTTGTTTGCAAGTATATTATTGAGGACTTTTGCATCTATATTCATCTAGGACATTGACCTGTAGCTTTTTAAAAATATTTCTCCAGTTTTCTTATCAAGGTAATGATGGCTTCATGGAAAGACTGTGGAAACTTTTCTCCCCTTTAAATTGGATGGAAAATTTTGAGGAATAGTGCTGTCATTCCTTATCTAAATATCTAGTAAAAACTGAGTGATAGGTCCTTTGGGTTCTGGGATCTTCTTAGTGGGTAAAAGTTGTTATTAGCATTGTTTCATAGTCTGTATCTTCTTCATTTGATTTTAATAAGGCATGTGTTTCTAGAACTGTATTAATTTCTTATAGATTCTCCAATTTATTGTTATATAAACTTTCAAAATTTATCAATCTTACTTGTAAAAATACAACTCTGCTTCATTAATCCTCTGTATTTTATTAGTCTCAATTTCATTGATTCTTGTTTGTATAGAATCTTAAGATGCATTAATAGATTATTTATTTGAGATCACTATTTCTCTAAGGTAGATACAGCTATAAACTTCGTTTTATGTGTGCTATGAGTCTGAGATGTTGTATTTTCATTGTTGTTTGTTTCTAAGACTCTCTAAATTTCTTTTCTAATTTGTCCTATGATCCATTGATAATTAAAAGATATGTTATTCAATTTCTATGTATTTGTAGAATTTTGTGGTTTCCTCTGGTGATTTCTACTTCCATCTGTTGTAATCTGATAGAATGTGAGAGATTATTTCATTTCCTTTGTATTTATAGAGACATGCTTTATGGCCTAAAACGATCTGTTTTGGAGAAAGATCTGAGAGCTTGAAGGAAATGTGTACTCTAAGGGTTATTGGGTATAACACTTGTAGACATTTGATAAATCCTTTAGTTCTATGGTGTCAGTTAATGTTGATATTTTGTTGTTGTTGTTGATTCATTTGTGAGAGTGGGATACAAAAGTGCCTCACTATGATTGTATTTTATGTCAAATTGGTTTTGGTTTATGTAATTGAGTGTACCAACATTACTGTATTTATAATTGTTTCCTCTTTTTTGTGTGAATTAGTCTCTTTACTGCAATTCTACATGTTTGTTACTTTTCATTGGAAGTTAAATATTTGTTATTTCTTAGATTTTGACCTAGAAATAACAGCTGACTTTAAAATACTAATTAAAGTGTCAAAGGATTTTCCCTGTGCCTTGTGAACACTAATACATTAATCTAAATTTTAAATTCTTCAACGTTTAAAATAATTGCCAATCATATTTCAGTTAAACAGTTTATAAATAGGTAGAACAATAAAAATTAAAAAATAAATGCACTATTAGGTGAGGTCCTATGGATCAAAATCAGGACATCTTTGGCCCACACACATGTCCTCATAATTCCCACCAGGCACTTTCTTGAAACATAAGCACTATTCTGACATACAATAGCAGAGATCACTTTTATCCTTCTTATAGTTTATGTAAATGTAGCAGAATAGAAACTGCTTTGAAAATGGCTTTTTAAGTGCCATATGTTGACTTTCATTTATTTATATTTTTGCATGTCGTTATGGATCAGTTCCTGAACATTAAATTCTAGTGTTCAAATGTCAGACAATTTATTTAACCATGCCACTCTGAATGCATATATGAGTTTTTTAAGTTTAATATTAGAAAGAATTGTGATATGCAAACATTTCAAAGTGTTTTTGTGGCACATGTACAAGTTCCTATTAATATGTATGTAGCAGTGGAATTTGTGTATTGTATATTTAAATATCTTCTTGTTTAGATGATACTGCCAAATAATTTTCTAAAATGTTTGTGCAAACTATCATACTCACCATTAGTGCATGAATTTGCTTTGTATAAACATCTTCTTTTAGTACTTTTATCGTTTTTCCATCAGTCTCTTGGCTACTATAGAATTGTATTGGGCTATATTTATATTTCTCTGATGACTAATGAAGCTGAACAATTTTCATATATATATATATATATATATATATATATATGTCATTAGACATCCTCTTTTTTGAAGATTCTGTTGTTTTGCCCATTTTTCCAGTGTCTTATTTGTAATTTTTTAATTGCCTTGTAGAAGTTCTTTGTATCTACACTGAATAGAAAACATTTTGATGAATACTCAGGTTATTTCCATGTCTTGGATGTTAGGAATATTTCTGAAATGAGTTTAGAACTCTCTTTGAGACACTCATTCCTTTTTTAGATATATTGTCTTGTCTCTATCTGTCTCCCCTTATTGCACCAATTCCATTTCCATATTTCACACTGCATCCTCTCATGTGAAATTCTTAATTTAATATAACTCATTTGTTATTTCTCCCATTATATTATGTCTGTTTTGCTGCATGTACAGAATATTTTCCAATTTTTGTTGTCAACCATTTTCAGTGGGACTTGAGCTCAGGAGATACATTATTCCAATGCGTTATTTTATTTTTTGAAATATTACATGACAAGGAGACAGTGAATATATTCAAGGTGTCCAATGTGTTGTTTTGTTATATGAATACATGGACTAATGATCATCACCACCAATTTACTTAACACAGCAGCTATTGTTTGAATGCTTGCATCTCTCCAAAACTCATGTTGAGACTAAATCGCTAATGGGATGCTAAATACTGAGAGGCGGGGCCTTTAGGAAATGGTTAGGTCTGGAGAGCTGGGGGACATTCAGAAGATGGTTCACTCTCAGCAGTGGCATTATTATCCTTATGAAAGAGCCCAAAACACTAAATTCAGGCCTTTTTGTGCTCATGTCATGTGAGGACAGTGCTAATTTAGCACCAGCATGGGAGCAAAAATAGGACCCTTGCCAAATATTTACCCCACCAGTGCCTTCATCTGAGATGTCATGATCTCCATAATTGTGACCAATAAACTTACAGTGTATAAATTAAGTAATTCAATGTCTTTATTAAAGCAGCAGCAATAGAATGAAGCAACATCCATTACCACCCATGTGAATAACCAGAACTTATTCATTTCATAACTGAAAGTGTGTCTTTGGACCAGTACCTCCATTTCTCTCACAAAGCAGCTCTTACCTGCCAATGTCTGCCTTTTGTATCTCTATACTTGATTCCTTTAGGCTCCACATATAGGTGGAATAAGCTACTTGTTTCACTGTTTCTAGCTTTTGTTTTACTTAGTATAATATCCTCTGTGTTTGACTATATTGTTTAAATGCCAGGAATTCCGTCTTTTTATGGCCAAATAATATTCCACTGCATATACATCACAATGCATTTATCTATTTATCTATGAATGGGTATTTAGATTGCTTTTTCAATTTTACCTTTTAAGGACTATGCTGCAATAAACTTGAATTGTAGAAGTCACTTTGAAATGCTGATTAATTTTCTCTAGATATATACTCAGAACGTCCATATACTATTGCTGGATACTCTAGTAGTCACATGTTTAATTTTATGAGAAACCTCCAGGCTGTTTTCCATAATGGCTATGCCAGTAGTCCACATAGTTTTAAAGCAGCACTGCACCCTGTCAAGAAACATTTCTATACAAACTTCTCTATTTATTTTTCCACATCTTGCATACACTTATTTTCTGGACTATCTCTTCAATAACTTTAAGAAAAATAACAAGCAAACTTTGGGGATGCTGGTGACCAGGGATGTCTCTTTCTAGAGAAAAATAACAAGTAATTATCTGAACAATTTAACAAAGTTTATGTCTCTCTCTGAGGCAATGGTTGGGAAGATTTACTTGAAGAGCTCGTTAAGATGATCTGTTTAAAACTGGCATTTATTAGCCTTTTAGTTCCTCAGCTGAGCTGCAAAACTACTGTACATAAAGCACCTTGCTGGACTTTGTTAAATTGTTCCTTTGTCACTTTGGGGTGACATGGAAACAAATGCAAATGTGGAACTCTTGTATCTGTTTGCACAATGAAAAAATTATTTCTCAGACCCAGGAATCTGTCAACTTTGCCAGAATAAACTGACAGTATAATACGTTAGCTTGAACATACGTTAATAATCTGATATAGGGAACATGAACAATTAGGACTTGAGAGGGTAGAGGAACTCAAGATAAATCCTGATTCCTCCAGCATGGACAAATAACCATAAAGTTTGATTGTCTAACATTTATTTACCTGTCCTCATGTAGATCAAAATAATCTCTTCTGACACTTATGAGCAATGAAGCTCAAAAACACATAACACGGCAGTTCCTACTATGAATACTGATGTTGAAACACAACAGAACATCAAACTAGCACAAAGTCTCCCACTTTCACATGAAGGTATTTTCATGACCTCATGGGGAATTCTGTCCAGATTTTAAGAAAAAAACTGCCCAAATGCAATTCCTAGGATTGTACCAATTTGAACTCTGCAAAATCCCTCAATTCCTCCTTGCTAAGTAAAAATGATATATTCTAGAACAAAATGGAATGGCACAGAAACATTTCAACCCTGAAGAAAAGATAAGAAGCAATGTTTAGTAAAAAATTTTTTTGTCTCTTTCATGGCCTGCAGTAAAGACATTGGCTGTATGTTGCTCACTGCATGTTCCCTATATTCCTAGCCATGTTTCACTGGTGTGTCAGGAAATCTGGCACCTCATAGTGCTTCCTGGGGCATTTAACCTCAGTGTCATCTGTGCAAAGCCTGAAACAAATTTGAGTGCTCCGCTTCTTGCTCATAATTCAGGTTTGGGGGTCATTTCCCACATTACAGCTATCTGGTCTTGTACACTGAAAACTACAGACTTTCTTTGGGGTTGAAAACTAGCAAAATTTCATCTGTAGACCTACTTATGTAGGTCACTTTCTTATCAATCCATACTAAGAACACATTCTGTGAAGAGACTGACCGTAATCAAGCTATAGATTAACCCTTAATCTGTATCTGATTTAGAGACCATTTCTGCATGGAAAACTTGCAATTCTTAGTGAAAACTGATCTGCTTGTCTTATGGCTGGGGAGGCCTCTGGCAGGTGTTGATAGAGTAACCTCACTGAACAGCTGAACCACTTCTCAAGATATCTATCTGTGCATTGTACTCCAACTGTGTTGTCATGGCAGTACAGTCAATTGAATCAAGCCACCAAGTGTGTCCCTTAAACCTAATCCATGTCATCCTCTAGAATTTTAGGACAGTTTGCATTCTGAAGTGTTGTATCTTTTATCATCAAATACAGTAATATTGGATGACTGTCTAATTTTATTTTCTTTGCCTTCTCCTGATCTTGGTCAGGTAATTTGTTGCCAAATCAAAGAGTGTATCTCACTCAAAAAAAGGTGATTTTTTTGACTGCTTCCAGTAT